CTCGGTCCCAGTGTAGTATCCTAAGATCTGGTCCCTCTGGTAGTAGTCTTCAAAGTAGGTTAAGAAGAGACTCGGTCCCAGTGTAGTATCCTAAGATCTCGTCCCTCTGGTAGTAGTCTTCAAAGTATGTTATGAACAGACTCTATCCCAGTGTAGTATCCTAAGATCTGGTCCCTCTGGTAGTAGTCTTCAAAGTAGGTTAAGAAGAGACTCGGTCCCAGTGTAGTATCCTAAGATCTCGTCCCTCTGGTAGTAGTCTTCAAAGTATGTTATGAACAGACTCTATCCCAGTGTAGTATCCTAAGATCTGGTCCCTGTGGTAGTAGTCTTCAAAGTAGGTTAAGAACAGACTCGGTCCCAGTGTAGTATCCTAAGACATGTTACAGTAACTCTTCATATTTTCTTTGACTAATTTTTGTGGTAGTATCTTCCCATTCCCAGACCTGCGTCTGTGGCTCAGTTGTATCATGTTTTGAACGTGTCCATATAATTTTCCCATCTCCTTACCCATGTTGGCTTCTTTCTAAGAATTCTTTATTGTATCAGTAAGAATTAGAAAAGTAACTGTTTGATTTGAATATAGCTCATAAATATATTTTAATATATTTAGCTGAAGAGCTCACTGACCACACCATTGAAAATGCTGAAATGGACATCATCTGGGCACTTGGCCAAGAGCCTGGAAACTACATTCATCGGCCAGCTACAGGTCTAGAAGCTGGTAATGCGAAGGTCAAGGATTTCTATAGATCTGATGAAGTAAAGTATCATGGCCATGGCCAACAGCGAGGGAAAACTACTTTGAATTTCTATGGTATTTATAGAGTACCTAACATGATATACTGTACAGGTTTAGCTATATATATGCATGAACATGTAATGTGATGGTTGATTTACTTTATTTATACATGAACGTTTAATGTGATGGCTGATTTACTTTATTTATACATGAACATTTAAAGTGATGGTTGATTTACTTTATTTATACATGAATGTTTAATGTGATGGTTGATTTATTTTATTTATACATGAAAGTTTAATGTGATGGTTGATTTACTTTATTTATACGTGAACGTTTAATTTGATGGTTGATTTAATTCATTAATACATGAACGTTTAATGTGATGGTTGAGTTACTTTATTTATACATGAAAGTTTAATGTGATGGTTGATTTAATTCATTTATACGTGAACGTTTAATTTGATGGTTGATTTAATTCATTAATACGTGAACGTTTAATGTGATGGTTTCTAAATAGAAACTTTTTAAGATACACATTTTTCACAAGGCTAAATTTTTTTCTCTTGATAAAGAATTTTTAAATACATTCACAGTATTTTTATGATTATGTTCTTACACAGTTTTCTCAAAGTGAACTTAATTTGATTTTTTTATTACAAGAAACATGCTATTACTTTTAAAAAATACTTATCTTTCTTTAGATTAGTAGATGAAACTGTTTTTCAAGAACTGTTCATGAATTTTTTTAAAAATACACTAAGGTTATTCATTTTATTAATAAGGAAAGTAATGCTCCAACTTTTTCTCTTAAAATTGAATAGAATAAAATCTTTTTATTGCTAAATAATAAAAAGCTGCTAAGCCTCTACCTTTGATAAGGATATTTGGGTGTAAGTCTTTGTATCAGGTGTTCTCCATAGAGAAAGAAAAACCCTACAGTCTAAAAGGATTTATATAAATACGTTTAACAATATGAGGGGAGATCTTTTCTTATATGCAGTTAAACTCGAAAATCAATCTTATGTTATTTTCTTTTCAAAATTTTAAAGGGAAATCCAACTTTTCTGATTTTAAATCAAGTCAAAAATTATGAGTCATTGAATGAAAATTACTTTTGATGGTTTGCTGTTTCTGGTTGATTTTATCTTATCTATCATTTGCAGTTGTTCTGTTTTCTAGTTTTACAGTTAACATTTTGAATAGGACAGTAATTGCATGCTCTACTGCACTATTCATATCAGTTTCAGTAAAGAGTGTCCATGTGTTTGAATTTTTTGTGATGTTTAGAGTCCATGTGTTTGAGTTTTTGTGATGTTTAGACTAAACATCACAAAAAACTCAAACACATGGACTGTCCATGTGTTTGAGTTTTTGTGATGTTTAGAGTCCATGTGTTTGAGTTTTTTGTGATGTTTAGTGTCCATGTGTTTGAGACTAAACATCACAAAAAACTAAACATCACAAAAAACTCAAACACATGGACTGTCCACGTGTTTGAGTTTTTGTGATGTTTAGTGTCCATGTGTTAAAACTATTCAAACAACATGATATATATATATAAAGAAGGGGGAGAGTTAATTTAATTGGGTACCCACCATATTTCTTATAACTCCCTTTGTGCAGTTATGAAGTAGAGCTTAGAATATGGACTGACCCGAGTGTCATGCAAGTAACGACCTCTTATTGATATTGAAGTGGAACATGAAATCTTATTGAAGCTGGTGTCTTGCAAAACATTTGTCAGCAACATCATGAGAGGGAAAGTTTGACTTTAAAATGTGTTCTAAAATGTAACATGATGGTCTTTTGTGATAAAAAAACATCTAAATTTAAGTAAATCCTACACAAGAATTCCTTGAAAATGTGAAACAGAAGAATATATTTAGTTACTTATGTAGGTACATTTTTGTTATCTTTGTCAGAAGAGAGAAAAGTAAAAAATGAGGTTGACGAGCCGGTTGAGAAAAGAATCGAAGGTTGCGCCGGTGAATGGAAACATCCGAGAGACTGTGAGGATGACAGCTGTGAGTACATTGCTAGATGGTACTTCCATGAATCAAAAGATGAAATATACTTCTGGATCAGCAGTAGTCATCCTGATAAGTGGACAGGTATTGGCTTCTCTAAAGATAAAGATATGGTGAGTGTCTGCAGTGTGTCTCAAAATTCTGTTCTTTTAATAAAGTGGCAAGGATAATTTACAATCATAAGAAATGATCTGCATCGGTTCAGATTTCTGTTACCGTCTACAATGTGATGACAAACATCAAAGGTGCGTTCTTTCATTTCCTGCACACCTTGGATTTTTATCTCACAAACAAAGAACCCGACATTGAACCTTCTCTTGCCGACATGACAATGATGTCATTCTTGTAACGTGAAAGATGTACAAGAAGAGAGAGAGATTTTCAGGACATCTTGTTATTAGTATCATATACAGCCCATGGATTTTTAGAAAGTGATACAACAATAATAAGTAAAAGAAAATAATTAATAATTAGAAATAAAGAGCTTTATCATTTATTATTCTCTTTATACATAAAAATGGAGTAAAAGATGGAAAACTGCATTCAGATTTAGGGTTGAGTAAAATTAATCGTTATAGTTGTCATTACTATTTATTTTTAGGAAATCAAGTGTTCAGAATATGATTAAATACTGGGACTGGTTTTAATTTGTGAAGTCACAGCTACAGATATAATTTAATGTTAAACATTTCAAATTATTATTGTTCTTATTTCATTGTTATATACATTTGATAACTGAAAACGCCATATATAATTCAACACTGCTTGTAGTATTGTTTATCACCCGGTGCTTATTTCGGTTGCAGGCCAACTCGGATGCCATTATTGGTTGGATGAGTAGCAACGGCAAGGTCTCCATATTTGACTCGTATGTACTTTTCTTTTAATGAGAGGAAAATAATGATTTTTAAGTAACGTCTTAGTCAGTAACAGGAAATGATAGATAAACACCTTCAAGAATATATACAGTACAAATTTTATGTGAATCTAAAATATAACTGTGACTATAATGTAACATATTGTTATCACACAAGTTGTACAGTGAATATAGATAAAATATAACTGTGACTATAATGTAACATTGTTATCATAGAAGTCGTACACTGAATATACATGTTACAATATAACTGTGACTATAATGTAACATATTGTTATCACACAAGTTGTACAGTGAATATAGATAAAATATAACTGTGACTATAATGTAACATATTGTTATCACACAAGTTGTACAGTGAATATAGATAAAATATAACTGTGACTATAATGTAACATTGTTATCACACAAGTTGTACACTGAATATAGATAAAATATAACTGTGACTATAATGTAACATTGTTATCATAGAAGTTGTACAGTGAATATAGATAAAATATAACTGTGACTATAATGTAACATGTTATCATAGAAGCTGTACACTGAATATAGATAAAATATAACTGTGACTATAATGTAACATATTGTTATCATAGAAGTTGTACAGTGAATATAGATAAAATATAACTGTGACTATAATGTAACATTGTTATCACACAAGTTGTACAGTGAATATAGATAAAATATAACTTGACTATAATGTAACATTGTTATCACACAAGTTGTACAGTGAATATAGATAAAATATAGCTGTGACTATAATGTAACATATTGTTATCATAGAAGTCGTACACTGAATATACATGTTACAATATAACTGTGACTATAATATAACATGTTGTTATCATAGAAGTTGTACACTGAATATAGATAAAATATAACTGTGACTATAATGTAACATATTGTTATCATAGAAGTTGTAGAGTGAATATAGATAAAATATAACTGTGACTATAATGTAACATGTTGTTATCATAGAAGTCGTACACTGAATATACATGTTACAATATAACTGTGACTATAATGTGACATGTTGTTATCATAGAAGTTGTACACTGAATATAGATAAAATATAACTGTGACTATAATGTAACATTTGTTATCATAGAAGTTGTACAGTGAATGTAGATAAAATATAACTGTGACTATAATGTAACATATTGTTATCATAGAAGTTGTACA